GCAACTTGAGAGAGGCATTTACCCCTCATCCTTTCTGAAAATTAAAGTAGGATTTTTGTATAGAACTTTCATTTGTACACGTCTTTGTTCCACTGATGGCTGACTGCATTTATGTTGGAGAAACTTTCTCCAAAACAAAGACCTTGAGGTCAGGTGCAGTGGCTCACAGCCTGCAATCCTCACACTCTGGGAGGCTGAGACAGGTGGATCACTTGAGCTCAGGAGTTGGAGACCAGCCTGAGCAAAAGTGGCTGGTCTACTCTACTGAAAACAGAAAAATTAGGCAGACATTGTGATTGGCACTTGTAGTCCTAACTACTTGGAAGGCTGAGGCAGGAGGCTCCCTTGAGCCCAAGAGTTTGAGGTTGCTGTGAACTGTGATGCCATAGTATCTCATAAGTTCCAGTTGGGTAGATGGCAAAGAATTGGCAACTTAGGGGAAAATGACCATTTTTCCTGGCCCCACCTGAACTTCCAGAGCTCAGGACTATGTATGATGGGCTTCCCAGCAGAGGGTAACTACCCTCTTTAAATTTTGATGCCCAGGCCTCACTTTCAGAGATGCCACTTTTCTTGGTCCACAGTATGGTTAGGGTAATGAGAATTCTAGAAACCCTACAGGAGATTCTAATGTTCAGCCAAGGGTGAGCATCACTGCTGTAAAGAAGTATGGCAGAAATACAAATTGGGACAACCAAGTCATTGATCTCTGCATAAGTTTAGCTGATTTAGCCTAGATCTAGCCTAAACTGAGGATTAGGTTGTGTGAGTGTTGAAAACAGGTTCATGGCTTTTTGCTCTCAATTTATTCTCAAGAACCAATGGGCTCAAAGAACATTCCTCTTGCTGGGATTTTCACTAGGTCCTCACAGAGAAGTCTACTGTAGTCAGGCCATCTGTGCTATAGTTGGGATGATCTGGGGTTGTATTAGTCAGGGTACTCTAGAGAAATAGAACCACTAGGAGATCTCTCTTTGCAGAGAGAATAGAGATTTATAAGGAATTGGCTGATGGGATCATGGAGGCTAAGTCCCAAGATCTGCAGTCAACAAGTTGGGGACCCAGGAGATCCCATAGTGTAGTTCCAGTCTATATCCAAAGGTCTAAGAACCAGCAGGGTCAATTATGTGGTTCCAGCAGGCTGAAGACTCAGGAAGAGCCAGTGTTTCAGTTGAAGTCCAAAGGTAGAGAAGGGGGAAAACTTAATGTCCCAGTTAGAAGGTAAGTCAGGCAGGATTTATTCCCTTTTACTCATTAGAGAGTTAGCCTTTTTATTCTATTCCATCCTACTCACTGGACAGGCCCCACCTACTACACTGGGGAGGGCAGTCTGCTCTACTAAGTGTATGGATTCAAATGTTACTGTCATCCACAAACACCCTCACAGACACACTGAAAATAATGCCTAGGTGCCCCTTGGCCTAGCTGACTTGAGACATAAAACAATCACAGGGGTGTTTGATGTTAAGAAGTCCTATGTGGGCTCAGCGCCTGTGGCTCAAGCATCTAAGGTGCCAGCCATGTACACCTGAGCTGGCGGTTCAAATCCAGCCTGGGCCTACCAAACAACGACAGCTGCAACCAAAAAATATCCGGGCATTGTGGTGGGCACCTGTAATCCCAGCTGCTAGGGAGGTGGAGGCAGAAGAATCGCTTGAGCCCAGGAGTTGGAGGTTGCTGTGAGCTGTGATGCCACACCACTCTACCCAGGGTGACAGCTTGAGGCTCTGTCTCAAAAAAAAAAAAAAGAAGTCCTATCTGCTGCTTCTATAGATAGCACAAAAAGGCACCCAAGAGCAGACATGAGAAGGTCCTGGGACAGCTTCTGCAGCAAAGTTTCTCAGCAATTGAGGGAAAAGGAAAAGAAAGTGACAAATTGCTATTGACTTCACTATCAGAGTACTGTTGACTTCCATACTTCCATACATATTTCTAGGTCATTTAATAGAAATGCTTTAAGAGCTGTTATAAACAAGTCTCTGTGCTTTCCTTATGGGTACTTGGGTCATTTGAAGAAGAAAAAAAAAAGCAGGTTATAGGCAGGGCATGAATGGAGGAGTTCTTTTTCTGGCCCAGAGAATGTTCTCAACATTAATTTCAATATTACTGAATGATTTTGTCCAATATTTTATTTTACTAAAAAAAGTTGGGTTTGTTTAAGAATCGTCACCACTACTCACTCCCTTTCTACAAGATTCTGCCTTCTTCTGTTTTGCGTTTATATCACTTGGGTTCTTAGTTTTGTGTTAGCGACCCCCAGCCTCATCTCCATTGTCTACATCTGTCACAGGGGAGCTTACTTTGACTCTACTTGTTAAACTTTTGTAGGCTTTTCTCTGAACTCTCACTTTATTAAATCCTCACCATCTGAAAACAGTGCCCACTGTTATAGAAACTCAATTCAAATTTTCAGAGTAAGCTAAAGTCAGCTGAAGTCTGATTACTTTTAAAGAAGAAACCATAAATATGTTTATGTTCAGGGAACAAGGGGAAGACATCAGGAGGAAAAATCAAACCCCAACCCGCATTGCATAATAATATATACATACAGAAGAAAGGCAACTGCCCTAAATATAAGTTCAAGCATTCTCCTCTGTGAAGCCCTCTCCAGCCCTTCAACCTGAGCTCCTGCCTCTGGTTGGTACTACTTTGTGTAGCCATTTTTCTCAAAGTGTGACCCCTCAACCTCACCTGAGAACTTGTTAGAAGTTCTCAGGCCCCACCTCAGACCTACTCAAGTAGACACTCTGGGGGTGGGACCCAGCAATCATATCTCAGCAAGCCTTTTGATGAGGCTAATGCCCATCTTTGCACAGTTTATGTTAATAAAAGTCAACTCTGCTGCTTTGGAGCTATTGTGCTGACACACATCCACACAAACTGATGTTCCCTCCTCTTCCAACTTATTAAGTGGGGGAAACCCCTTATCCCTAATCTGTGGGGTACTTCACTCAGTGTTTCACATAAACAAGCAAATGTCGCTTGACTTCTACCTTGATTTCTGAACAGCACACAAGTGGAAAGAAGGGAAGGGATGAAGCATCACAGGACAGGAGAAGATGAGGAAGACGTCCCAGATGGGTGAACCAGCACCTCTTGTATTCTAGAAAGGAAATATTATTATTACTATCTTTTTATAAGATTAAATTGTGAATATTTGTGATCTTTATTTTTTATTTTTTGAATATTTGTTTTTAAGTGGGTTTTTCTACAAGTCTACTAGATTGGGAGCCAGAAAAGCAGAGATTTTCAAACCTAAGAGTACACCAGAATCACCCAGGGGGTTTGTTAACCTAAGAAGTCCTGGCCCTTCCAGCTGCATCCTGATTCTGCAGGTCTAGAGTGAGGCCCATGACTTTGCATTGCTAGAAAGTTCCCAGTAGTATTTTGCTTCAGACCACACTTTAGCACCCTGCTAAGCAAGCAGAGTCTGTGCCTTCAAGCAGTCATTCATTTAATAAGGTTTTCATTTGTTCAAGACCCTACATTAGCAACATAGAAAAGCAGGAATATGATTTGTTTTTAATGGGTTCATAGACTTACATGAGCAAAAGTACATGTAGAGAATTTCTGTCTTTTATCTACTTTAATTAAAAAGAGAAAACTCAGATAAATAGGGTAAAGACAAGATATAAAATCAATAGAACTTTTTACACCAACAAGATATTTGCATCAAAACCCATTTTTTTTTTTTTAGACAGACTCTCACTCTATTACCTTGGTTAAAGTAGTGTAGGATCATAGCTCACAGCAACCTCAAATTCTTGGGCTCAAGTGATTTTTTTGCCTCTGCCTCCCAAGTAGCTAGAACTACAGGTATCAGCCACCATGCCAAGCTAGTTTTTTTCTGTTTTATTAGAGACAGGGTCTTGCTTTTGCTCAGGCTATTCTCAAACTCCTGAGTTTAGGCAGTCTACCCACCTTGGCCTCCCAGAGTGCTAAGATTACACGTGTGAGATACCATGCCTAGCCCAAACCGAATCATTCTAATATTTAGTTATTATGAGTTCTAATTTTTTTTTTAAATCTTTAGGTTTCTTTAAATATAAGATCATAATCATCTGCAAAGAAGGATAATTTAACATCTTTCTTTCCCATTTGGATGCCCTTTATTTGGTTCTCTTGCTGACCACTGTAGCTAGGACTTCCATTACTATGTTGAATAATATTAGTGAAAGTGGGCATCTTTGTCTTGTTCCAAATCTTAAAGGAAAGGCTTTCAGGTTTCCCCATTCATTATGATACTAGCTATGGATGTATCGTATATGGCTTTTATTGTATTTAGGTATATTGCTTCTATACCCATTTTTTGAGAGATTTATCATGAAGCAAAGTTGAATTTTTAGAATGCTTTTTTCAGCATCAATTGAAATGATCATTTGATTTTTGTTCTTGATTCTGTTGATATAATATATCACATTGATTGATTTGTGTATGTTGAGCCATCCTTGCATGCCTAGGAAGAATCCCTAGGATCAATCCCTTGATCATGATGAATAATCTCTTTAATATTAGTTGTTGAATTTTGTTTGTTAGTATTTTATTGAGAATTTTTGCATCTATGTTTATCAGAGATATTGGCCTATAGGTTTCTTTTTGCATGTGTCTTTGCCTCTAAACCCAACATATTTTTTAAAAATGTCCTTCTTGCTTAAATCAGTTGGGGTCAGTTTCTGTGACTTGTAACTAAGAAGCATTGCTGATAGTAATTGTCCTTATGTTGAAGATGTGATCTGCTGGAAAGAAACTCAGTTTATGATCATAACATGGAGAAGATAAAAACAGAAACCACCTTTTAGTGAGATTAAAAAGATTAAATAAGGGGTAGTTGCTCATTCACTTCTTGGAGGAGGTACCTGCTCCTGGTGGTCCTGAGGGCAGCAGGCCAAGGGTGACCCCAAAAGTAAGAGGCTGCTTGTAGCAGTCCGCAGGTCTCGGGGGCTAAGTGTCCTGGCGAGAATCTGGAGGAGGAGGAGACTGCGAGGATAGGTCCAAGAGTAATGGAGTCCAAAAAGGAACAAGTCAAAAATCTCAACATGAAAAATAGCAAACAAGAAAACGAAGGAGGGGATCAGACCACAGTGCAGAATGAAGAGGAATCCCGCTATTTGGGAGGGGGTGAAGGCTGGAAGCCTGTTACAACTGTCCGATGGGGGCAGGTTTGGCGACTGGTCCCTAATTTTCAATGGGGCATGCCTAATAAGCATGTTGATCACAATGAAGCAGGAGATAATGCAGAAAAGTTTGTAGGGCAGATAATGGAAATCAAGAGAAAGACTAAGGAGCAGCAGGTGAGGAGCTATATGCGATTCCAAACTCCTGAACCTGACAATCATTATGACTTTTACCTCAGACCTTGAATCTTAAGGTTTTCCTTTAGGTGAGTAATGCCACTGCTTTACAAACTCATATTTTTGTGATTTACTTTTTCTGTAAGCCTCTGGTGTTTCCATTTAATGAGTTTTAATTGAATAGTTTGTGTTAGTCTGAAAGTTTCTGTCAGCTTGGCATTTTCATCCTTTTTAGGAAAATATTCTTTTCCTAATATGAAATTAATAAAGCAGTTTAAAAACCAAAAAAAAAAAAAAAGATTAAATAAGATCACATATAAAAACATGGAAATACAAGGAATTTTTAACAATGTCTGGAACATAGTAGATGCCTGAATCTTTGAGATGGTTGTATAGGAAAGGAGAAGCGAGAGATCATAGCCAGTGGTGGGATTCTGAAGAGTCAGTCCAGCAAATGGGGAGGCACCTGTGGCTCAGTGGGTAGGGTGCCAACCCCGTATACTGAGAGTGGTGGGTTCGAACCCAGCCCCGGCCAAACTGCAACAAAAACTAGCCAGGCATTGTGGTGAGCACCTGTAGTCCCAGCTACTCAGGAGGCTGAGGCAAGAGAATCACATAAGCCCAGGAGTTGGAGGTTGCTGTGAGCTGTAGATGCCACAGCACTCTACCAAGGGTGATAAAGTGACACTCTGTCTCAAAAAAAAAAAAAAAAATCCAACAAAGGGCCAGGACTCACCTACCTGAGGCTGTGGGTATACTCACTGATGTCCACAGTAAGGAATGGATGAAGGGAACAAATACACTGTGCCGAGTGCCAGATAGGGGTACAAAACATTCTTCAAACCAGAGGGTGAAAGTACATCTTGGAAATTCAGCCACAAAACTTAGCAGAAACACACAGAAAGAAAGCAAAATATGTATTCTGGACAACCCCCAGAAACACTGGTGCAGCCTGCGGTTGTGCACCAACTGTAAACACAATGGAGTTGGAGCGCCTGTTCTGTAAAGGCATGCATAAGACAACGCGAAGAAATTCATGACAACCTGAAGAAATTCAGGAGTGGAAGCTAGTGTAAATTATGTTTAATCACTAAAAGTAATTCTGTTCCCACCTTCAAAAACTTTGTTTCTACAAAAGCAGTGGTGCTCAACCTTGATTACACATTGGAATCACTTAGAGAGCTTTTAAAACATACAGATGCTTGGATCCCACCTTCAAAGACTCTGATCTGATCCGTCACCATACGGCCAAGGCACAGGCTTCTCCAGTGTCTCTGATATCCAAAGTTGAGAACCAACTGTCAAGTCTTCATGACTCTTCCATGCTCACTTTTTTTGAAGCAAAAACTCCAACCAAACATACAAATAAGTTTTATTTCAAAGAATCCATATCAAAAAAATCTCTAAGTAGGCGATCAAAAATAATTTTCATATTGAGGCTATAAAAGTGTCAAAAGATATTTTGTTTGGAAAGTTTCTTTGGAAAAATTTGTTCTGTGACTCCCACCCCCAGAATGGACAGAGAGAGGATACCTCCCCCTTCAACTTAACTAAGACAGTGGGGCTTCAGCAGGACTACTTAGAGAGTTTATATTCATCCTACAAAACCAGGGAGATAGAGTACTCTGGTATCTGACCACTGGAAATTTTAAAGGCAGAGGTAGATTCACTAACTACTCTAATGTTGAGAGACAAGGAGAAGTTAGCTACTTTGAGATGGGCCTGAACTTCCAGTTTGTCAGGGCAAAGTATGCCTAAGCAAACTACTGAGGACAGACAAATCTGCTTAGCCCTGAAGGCTCATTCCCTCTGTCTTTTCATTGACTTAGAAAAGAGCTGGTTCACCAAGTCTGAGTTCAGTGGGAGAATAGGCTAATGCCAGACAACCAATCTCAGAAGACTTCCTCTCTCTAATAAGGCCCAGTGAGAGATTTTTCCATCATTACATAGCCACATAGGCAATCCTTGTCCCTATTTTCCTATGAATACAGAATATATATGGGAGTGTGGCTCCTCACTATTGGAACATGGCCATGCTGCCTTTAGTCCACCCATATTTCAGTCTAAGCACCATACCCAGAAGAATTTTTTTTTTTTTTTGAGACAGAGCCTCAAGCTGTCCCCCTGGGTAGAGTGCCATGGCATCACAGCTC